GTCAATAACTCGTCAAATATTGATGCTAGCGAAGAATTTTTATAAAGAAATTGTAGATCTCGTCGTCCTCTACAAGAAAGGTCCTATGCAATTTTCCCGTATCTCCAAGGGTTTAGGAGTTATTGAGGAAAAACGACATTTTTTTCCAAAAGTTCGCCGTTTCGACGCTGGAATTGTCGGATTTTGTCAACATCAATAAAATGCCAAATAATCATACGTAACTCGTTAAATATCGAAGTTAGAAGGAAAACAACTTTTATTTGAAGCATTTTTCGCAATTTTGAAAAAAAAGATTTTTCGTCAGCGTCAACACTTAATTGGATATTTCCTTCTATACTTTTTAGCACGTAGCTATTTATTATTAGCATTGTTCTTCCGACGTCTGATTTCTTTTTAATTATAGGAAATGCGTTTTTCTAAGGTACATCAACTTTTGGGATTGACTGTATAGCCAATACATCCTTAATTGAACGGACTGGTTGCTTTTTTTTATCAAGTTAGTAGCTGTAGTTAGTTCATTAGACACAAATATCACGTTGATCATGTTTGATAAACATCAATGAATGTTTCGGTATGCTTAGAAGTTATCGATGCAAAGACTACGCTCGCTATAATAATATACAAGCAACGAAGGCTATTACCAGTCACAAAACGTGCTACGAGTATCAATAGTGATAACTCAGTGAATTAAGTTCTTTTTTCTATCGATTTATTTTCTTATTTCGATTTAAAAAATTCTCGGCTGACCAGTGCGAGTCTATTCTACTAGATGACGAAGAATCGTTAAATAGGACAGTTTGGCTAATCATAAGAGGTTCTCGACTAGTCTATTTTAAGTGGCTCCTGACATGGCGTACACTCTCAAGCTTGAGGACAGTGGATGTTGGATCCAGGACACAGAGTCTAATTACCGCGTCTCGGTTCGACGCGGCAGGAATTTTCCAGGCATCCCCGGCGTCTGTAACGACGTATCCGCTTTCAGAGTTCCTCCCCGGCTCCCACTCGCTGGAGAAGCTTTGTTCCCGCGCTTCATTATTTTTCAACACGCCGCGCAAGAACAGAGAGAGATAGTTAAAAAGCCTTTCTCCGGAATTTCTGCCGCTGTTTCACCGTTGCATTATCATCCCGATCAAGCCGGCGTGTTCTTGTTATCTTCCAGGTAAATCCCGCAACTTTCTCGGATGATGAAATAACTACACTGCATTTTGCGGATATATTGGAAATTTTGTTCCGAGAGAAATATGAGAAAATATGAAGAACGCACATTGCACGTTTATGCTACTTTTTTTTAAGGATTTTATGCTACTTTTTTTACTTCAACAGAGTTCAGGTTTTAAATTAACATCGGAAAAGTTTTATTTTATATCCGCGGTCTATTTGGATTTCGTTGGAATCTATTTCGGAAAAGGGAGAAGGCGCTGGATGACCTCCTGTCTGATTAAATTACGATTGGGTCGATACTTACTCGTAGTTGTGCGTTAGCCACTTCGATACGCAGTTTCGATAAACGCAAGCGATAAATATAACACGGCGACGCGCGAACGGGAAGGAAGGTCGTCCTTCCGTGGTGCGCGCGATTCCACCCCGCTTCATAGACCTTTCCAACGGTCCAAGGTGGTCTTTTTTTACGCGGTACTGGCACACTTGAACACCTTGCTGGATGGTTGTTGCTCGACATAAAGGCCGAGCCGATCGACTGATGGAAGAGAACTTTTTGTTGGTTCTGCAACTTTATTTAAGCTATAATCACGGCTATTTTGTTCAGTACTCTTTTCTTCTTTACTCGCTGAAGCAACGTGAAATAAGTAGGCTCTAAAAATTTGCATCGAAGACCCTGTTTTAACTTCTCTTCACATTTTAGTGAAGCTACGTCTACTCGTAATTATAAGTTCTCAAAAAATGCTGAAAATTCTGTTTAACTTCTCGTCTGTTCAATCCTATAGTTTTCTGTTCGTTATTTGTCGACGCAAACATCCGAAACAATACCGTAAATTGTTTAGTTTCTTATTTAATCCTATTTCTAGCCGAGGTAATCGTAACTGACTTTTCCTACAGGGAAGCGTGGAAACCCCACAGATGTCGCGTATCTTCACCCCGTGAATACCTTTCCCAGTGAGAAGGCAGGCGAAACGATCGGCCTTTCCTCACGTTCCCGGAGGCCCTCGGGGCTCCCGGCGTCCTTGTTTCACGAGCTGGAAGCTATTTTTCTCGAACCCCGGCCCGGGTCTCTGCGTCTTACTTACGTGTCACTGCCCCCGACTGTGAGAACGGTGACCGACGAGCCTCTTCAACACGGTCGGACACCCCTGATAGGGTCGACACGCTTCTTTCCGCGGCGACGAGGGTTCCCGAAATCGCGAAAGCGTTGCTAGTTACGCGCACGGGCCTCGTAAGGTGAGACTCGAGAATCATCTCCGGGGACGAATGTTTTCGGACTACTTCCAGTACTCGCGTCGAGGACCTCTCCCTCTCTTTTTTTACTCTTTTTCTCAAGTCTAATGACGTACAATTCCCGTATAATTAAACGAATGTCTCCTTGTTTTATAATGTACGCATATAATAATTAGCAATTTGGATTCTTTCATTAAATGGAACAAGTCGCTTTTTCTTACCTCCTAGATTCTCTTTAAGCGAAGGTTTCAGTTTAAATTTAGCACGTGGAAGGTTATATTTAGATCAGCGTAAGATATTGATTTTATTAAGACAAACGAATTTCGTGCTCAATGAATTTATTCTTGTACTTTGATAAATCAGATATAACTTATCCAACGTAATAATTGTTCACTCATTTTATTAGACCTCTTAATTGGATGGATATTATCTTACCTTCCTCAAAGGTTCATTTAGAATCTTATACAGATTTACGGGAAATAACTTTTGAATAAATTAATTCTGTGTCGAAATAATTGATTGATTTTATCAAACTATTACGTATCCTGTTCATTCAGTTAGTTTACAAATTACTCTCTAGAATCTTGTATTATTTATAGAAAAACATCAATGTTTATCGTTATATCGATGACTTATGGACAGCGTATGCGTCCGGCCGCACGTGTACGGCATTATTTCATGAAATTGAAACGATCCCGGCGCGACGGCGAAACAGACCGGTCGCTATTGCGAAATTACCAACGTAACGCGAGCCGAACGCGAACACGTGCACAAGCTGCGACAAAGTGTCGCGCGGACGTGTTCCAGATGCGGCTCGCGACCGCGCGCCGCGTCTGAATTAGCAATTTTATCGCCGGGACATTTTTCTTCGGAGCCGCGTAAGCTGTCGCCGCCGCATCGAGCTACCGTTTTATTCCCGTTCGCATAATCGTTCAGACATCTTGCAAATTGCCCGATTTATTCATCCTCCCGTGTCCCAATGTCACGCGTGTTCGCGGTATGCATCGCCGCTTAATCGATTCTGGAATTGGGGGATTGTTGCCGGCAGATGGGAATTGGAATCCTATGCGATAATTCGGATGATGGAACGTCGCGGCATCGAGGAAATTTTCTCTCTTTAAAATGATATAACGTTTCGGTGAGACGAATATTTTTAATCGACATAATCGTTTTGCGTAAGAATCCACAGTTTAATTAGAAACCAAGCGCAGTAAAACCGAGCGCAGTTCTAAAATAGATGAAGTGATTAACACTAGATTGCCC